ACTGTCAGAGAGAGCAGGAACAGTAGTGGTGGTGGTGGTAGTGGTATAGTAGTAGTGCTACTACTACTAGTAGTAGTAGTAGTAGTAGTAGTAGTAGTAGTAGTAGTAGTAGTAGTAGTAGTAGTAGTAGGTGCGGCGCTGCACTTTAAAGCTGCTGCCACTGATCTTCCTCTTTGAACTTATTGCTCTGGGCTGCATTTCTGACCATTCCTCACAATACTTCACGACCCTTCTGGGGGCATATCGGGTGAACGCTACTGAGGAGCAGGTCATTACTGATTTTCGGGCCATTGCTCCTGAGTGGGAGATCTTGCAGCTCCAGGCCTTCTGTCAGCGAAACTATCCACACTGCCTAGAGTACTTCAACTAGTGCTGCCTGAAGACATGGGATTTCACGTTTTCACCGGTCTGGCCACGCAGCCCTACAATATTTCCTCCAAGACGAATTTCCACACGGGGCCAGATGAGAATCCTTTATTTCAGCCTCAGAGTACGAGTACACTTTTTGGAGGAGCTCGCTCGACCCGGTCCCAAATCCGGAAGGGGAAGCAAACTGCTGCAAACTCCATGGTTTCTGCAGTGTCCCCTGGCGTGAGGGTTGGCGGTACACCCTCTGGTCCGCCTGAAGCTTCGGCAAAGAAGAGGGAATCTTCTATCGGCTACATTCGCGCAGCTGATATATGCATGAGCAAAGTTAAGAAACGATCGCTGAGGCGTGCAGTTCAACGTGCACAGCAGGGCAAGCCTGCCTTTTACAGGGGTCGGCGCTTGGCGCACGACCCACTTTGCCCGAGTCGTCCAGCTGTCTTGCCCTTTGCAGCAGAAGCCGGTCGCCTTAAGATTTTTTTCCTGGAATTGTAGTGGACTGACGCAGTTGCTTTTCGAGGAGCTGAAGCTGTACCTGCGCTTGAATCCTGACATTCAGGTTATCTTTCTGCAAGAAACGCACCGTGCGTATCAGGGTGAGTGGTGCGCCGATGGGTGGACTTTCATTCTTCGTGCTGCTGATAAGGCCAATCAAGGGGGTGTCATGATGGGCTTCAGGGATGGGTTCTGCGAAAAGGCCTCCTTAAGGTGGCAGGAGGTGCATCCTGGACGCCTGCTTCATGTGCGCTGCTTCTCCAAACAGCAGCACCTCGACCTGGTCTGCATTTACCAGCATGCACTGCCCTTCGAAGCCAGCTCTCTGACGTCGACTTTGGCAAACAGGAAGCAGCTTTGGAACAAGCTGGACTCTCTGCTGCAGTCATTTCCGGTTCGTTCTTCGGTTGTGGTTGCTGGGGACTTTAACTCGAATTTGTGCTCTTCGGGATCCTGTATTGGGCATAGCATCCTTCATAATGCTGCCAAACCGGCGGTTGTCGAAGAACGGCGGTGGCTTTCGGGGCTTCTGGCATCGCATCAGCTCACGGCCTTGAATTCCTGGTCACGGAAGCTTCCTACATACTGGCATCCATCAGGGTCATCACAGATTGACTGGATTCTGGTTAGATCATCTCTTGCTGACAGCAGTGCCAAGAAGTGTGCTCCTTCAGATGCTCCGGTTGCGGGTTGGCGTTCGGCTGGGCATAAGGTTCTTAAAGCCTCTATTCCCCTGAACTCTTGCCCTGGCGTGCTTCTGCGCGGCGCCGAGAGCAGGAGCAGGCTCTTCGGCGCGATGCTGTGCAGGGTTCATCTCCGCTGCAAGAAGTTATTCAGGAAGTTTCCAGTTGCGCAGTGCCTTCCTGCTAGGCCGGGCTTTGTTGGAGTTGATGGAGAGATTCTTCAATTCTGGCAAGTGAGAAAGCTGCTTTCCAGGCATAGAATTGCTTCTTTGAGGGATGTTTTTGTGCGAATGCGACTAGTGCTGCAGCTGCAACGACGGCGAAGGGAACTTCAAGCCGCGGTGCGTGCACGCAAACGACAGCAACTGCTGGAAACGTTGCACTTGGCTGAAAATGCATCCAAAACTGGTGACAGCCGCACTCTTTATCAATGTGCACGATGGTTGGCTCCCCGTAACATCAGGCGTACAATCAGGCTTCGAGATGAGCAGGGTCTTCTACTTCACCCCAAAGCTGAGTGCACACTGCTCGCCGATTACGCCGAGGATCTCTTTTTGACATACCCCAGCTTAGCCTTTCCCCTCTTGACCCGGGCATCTTTAGTCCGGAGATTTGGGTGTCTGCTCTTGGGAGTCTCCGGGCTGGGAAGGCTGTGACGGCTGGGCAGCCCTCTGTACAGCAATGGCGGGACCGTTCGAATCTGGTTGCCGATCGGTTGAGTCACATTGCTCGAGATGCCCTCTGCTGCTCTGATTCCAAAGTTCCCACCGAATGGTCGACGGTTCAATTGGCATGGTTGGCGAAGGCAGGCAAGACTCCTTCTAGACCACAAAATCTCAGGTCTATCGGCCTCATGTCCGTGGACAGCAAAGCGTTTTTGATTGTCCTTCGCTCTGCCATTGCGCCGTACGTCGAGGCGGTCATGCATGACCAACCCCAGTACGCTTACCGGAAAGGAGCCTCCACTTCTGATGCCTTGATGCGCGCGGCTGGCCATTGTTGCGAGGTCTGTATGACTAGAGGATTGCGTCAGGGTTGCCCCGTACGTTGCTCCTTCTTCTTTATGCTGCTTGGTCGTGTCGGCTGTGCAAAATTCTGGACAGACGTGTTTCGGTTTCATGGACATCCAACCACTGCACGCTGTTCGCAGACGACATCTTCTCCTGCTGGGTTATTCGCTCTGTCAAGGAATTCCATGCTGCAGTATGCGAGCTTCGCTTGCTGATCGAGGCACTGCGCTCCTTGGAGATGTCTGTTAATTTTCAGAAGTCGGTGGTGGTGCTCAGGTTGTGTGGCAGGGCCGTAGGGCAGCTCAGTAAATCATACTTAGTGTGGCGCAGTGGCGTTCAACATCTACGCATTCGCTGCACTGACAATGACATGTACATCCCATGCGCCACACAAATGCCCTATCTTGGGGCGGAGCTCTCCTATGATAACTTTGAGCTGAAGACCTTCAAGGGGCGTGAGAAGCAAGCAATACAAAGATTCCAGGAGCTGCGACGGGTGCTTCGTACCAATGGCTCCATCACTGTTCGGCATCGCGTTCGGATCTACAAGGCGATTGTTTGGCCAACACTGTGGTACGCACTCTCCAGTGTAGGGATCACGACTGAGGTTATACGGGGAGTCTGCTCGGTTCTCGCCGGGCAGCTGCGCAAGGTCCTTCGGGTGTACAAGGAGGGAGTCAGTAACAAGTTGGTTCTGCAGCAAGCTGGGTTGGATCCACGGGGCTTCTTCTTGTGGCAGGTGCAACAGAAAGGACAGTGTATTCAACGAGATCTTCGTCGCGCTGATCATGTCAAGGCTCAAGAATCTCGTCATTGTCAGAATGTGCATCAGCGACTGCTGGGGATCGAGGACAACCCCAGTATGACCTCATTGGTTCGGATTCCCAAGGTCGATGCCGTCGCGGTAACCTGTCCATGCTGCGGTATCTCGTTTGACTCCCAGGCGAGTTTGCAAATGCACATCAAGCACAAGCACTCGGAGATCAACAAGTCCGCTCGCCTAGCGTTTCATCGTGATCTTCATGCATTGCATGGGCTTCCTATTTGTCGCTTTTGCCAGGCTCGGCTTCATGATTGGCGTTCGCTTGAGAAGCACATCACGGAAGGCACGTGTCCTAGGGTGAAGGTTTTTGTTTCCCAGGGATTGGATGAGGCTACAATGTTGCGGCGTGTTTGCGAGGAGGAGCAGAAGCATTCTCCTCCTGTGCCACACAAGGCCATGCCACAGTCGCAGCTCGAGAATGACATTGGTGAGGCCCTAAAGTTTGAGCCGTCCACTCTCAACTCGTGCGGTGACCAACTCTTGATCCTGGCTACTCGGTGTGCTCTTTGCAGGCAGCTCATTCCCGACAGCTCCAAAATCAAGATTCATTGGCAGCGCACTCATGCACAGGAGTGGGCCAAGTATTCAGCGGATGCGATCTATTCCGTACCCCATGTCGCTTTTGCGGCAGCCAGGCCAAAAACTCCAGAGATCATGCAGCAAAGTGCTCGTCAATTTTTCAGCTGCTTGCAGTGCGAGCAATGCGCAACACAGGCTTGGTTGCGCCACTGCCCGCCAAAGGTCCTGCTCTCAAACAATCGGAACAATCACCATTGTACGTTCAGTTTGACATCTCGAAAACAGCAATGGGGAGATATCTGCGCAAGGCTGGTGCAAGTGAAGCAAGCACCGTGGCTCCACAGGTGTCGTCCTTAAGGTGGGATCTTCCTCCACTAAGTCGGCTATTGCAATCGACAGGTCGGAGGTGCAGCTTGTTCAGCTTGACTCGGCTCCGCTACCACAGCGCTGGCTACAAAGCCTTGTCCTTGGTAACCCTCACAATCATTGTTACATGAACGCATCGGTGTACGCGGTCTTGCATGTGATGCAGGAGGCTCAGCCTGTGACGCGCGCTTTTCAATTCCTACGTGGAGTTTGTTTGTCAAGGCTCTGTTCGTAGAGGTGGTCATCTTGTGTTAGCGGCGCAGCTCATTGTCCGATCAATACTCAGGCACTGGACCTTTGACCGCCGGCAACATGATGCTGCGGAGTTCACGGCTGCGCTGCTTCATGGTCTCGACCTCGGCCTTGCACAGTGGGAAGCTCGGTATATATCCTGATCGTGAAGGGGTTCAAGTTCTTCACACTGGAGGTGCACCTGTTTCCCTTCGCATGCGGTTGACCTCGCGTGGACTCCAGGATCTCATTGACGATTGGCATCGGCAAGTCTACATGCATGCTTTTGTCGCACAGGACGGTCCAGTGCTTCTTCATCTGGCTCGAAATGCGGATGCCTCAAAGAACGAGGCACTCATCAGCATCGCTTCTCTTATTTGGCTCCCTGTCTTTGTTGAAGGGATCGTTGTTCGGTGGCACTCATACCAGGTCCGAGCTCTTGTTGAACATCATGGTGACAGTGTCATTTCTGGTCACTATCGTTCGGTCCTCAAGTTTGCCTCTGGTTGGATGCACACTGACGACGGGGAAGTGCCCTCACCGGTCTTGTGGTCTCAAGCACGCGAACAGCACATGTATCTTGTATGGCTGGCACCGGCTCAATCCTTCGAGAGCCGGCCAAGCTGGGAATAGCTGCCCTTCCTCGGGTCGCCCTTGTGTCGCTTAGTTCCAGGGCTATGCCTATCGGCCAGCTGGTTTTCCGGTGGCATCGGGGCCTCCCTCTGGAGTCTCTACGGCTGCCACTGCAGAGGAGCGTGAAGCCAAGGCTGTCAAGACCGAAAACAAGGGCGGTCGAGGCAAAGGTTCCCAAGCAAATCCTGAAGGCTCTGGTGATGGAGCTGGCTAGTCCAACAAAAGACAGGGCCAATGGGAAGGAGTGGTCCTGGCCTGGGAACTGGAAAGACAGTGGTTCCTCAGGCGACTGGGCAGAGATGCAGGAGATGCAAAAGCTGATGACTTTGATGCAGAAGTTGGTTTTGCGTCACGAGGACAGCATCAACCTCCTGAAGCTGGAGTATATACGGCTTCGTGGCCCACATGAAGCTCAATGCCCCTGCGAGTGTGGTTCACATGTTGTATGTGGCGGCGGATGGATGGCGCAAAGTGAAAGCCCAGGAGCCGCAAAAGTTGAATCGTCCAACGCGCAAGTCCCTCTTTGTGTGCTTTTTGGCCGAGCTGAAGACGCGAGTCCAGGCACTGGATGCCAACCCCAGCGACGTGGACAAGCTTGCCGAGCTGGGCTGGGTTGTGAAAGGCCCTCCCCTCACCTGGCACTGTCTGAAGTGGGACCCGGCGGCCCAGCGCAGCATCATCGACACCAACAAGCCACCCTTGACCAACGCGGAGGTCCTGGAGAACATCGACACCATCCTAGCCAATGCTGTCACCACCAACAGCCTGGCCAGGTTCCACCCGACGCGTCCCCTTGGCGACACCATGCAGGGCGAGAGCATCGTTTTCCTCATCCAGGTGGGGAATTTTGGGGATGCGAGCTTGAGTATTCGGACCAGCCTGAAATCCCTGTGCTACAATGCCGCGCTCCAGCTTGTGGCTGCCCAGTTGAAGGAGGATAGGGTGTCGCGCTCCACGCTGGCCAACAACATTGCGGCCTCCATCAAAGGATGAGCTCAGCCGGCTGATGGGCCTGTTCCTCTATGAGGCTCTCTTCCTGATTTTGGTTGCTGGGACTCCTGGTGCAAAAATGCGGTGTTAGCGTTTTGTGGGGCAACAGCCTCCACCTGGACGCCTGCTTGGCAGCTCGCTGCGGGGCGCTCCTCTCTATGCCGGTATTTTGCGAGGGCCCACTCTGCGATGTCTCAAGGTCGCTCACGGCGTTCTTCCTCTTCATCTGTGATCCAATCGAACGGTGATTGCATGGGAAAAAGACTTGGTGGCTTTCTCTGTGAGCGCATTGCGTTGGCGAAATGGAGTGGTGTGACCTTCCACATGGTTTTGAGTGTCTCCTGTTGCTGAGGTGCAGTGGATCCTGCCCCTGCAGAGTTGTGCTGCCTTGTATGCCACCGCAACAAAAGGAGCAACGCTACAGCCTCTCGAGCTCGGAAAGGTATTGCAGTTGCTCTGAATACACAGTGGCAGATGATGTCGATTGCGATTCTGAGTCCGAGGAGGCTGTATGCCCAGGTGTCTCAGCAGCTAGTGGCTCGGAGCTCGGCGGCTCAGTGCCTCTCGTGGTGGGAGGTGTCTTTATGGTTGGAGCTCAGCCCCCCACCTCATATGAGCTTGATCTTCGCTACGAGTATGCGCGGCAACATGTCTACTTGCTGCGCAATGTTCGCGTTGGCGATCTTCAGGTCCCCACCCACTGCAAAGCGGAAGCCATGGCTTTTGGCATGATCTCGAGTGGTCAGGCAAACTGGAATCAGCTCCGTCGTCTCATTGACTACCTTCCTACGGATGCAAAGGTCAGATGGCCCCAGGAAAGCCCAGGACCTCAGACTGATGCCAACACCTGTGCCTCAGCGGATTCCGAACGGTTCACGGTCGGGGCATGGAACTTTGGTAACATGGCTGGTGTGGTGAACAACACGGTGACCTATCCGTGGGTCACCCGGGCTTTGGCTGGCATTCTTGGGACATGGAGTGAAGAGCTCCAGTTCACTTCGTGCACCTTGTCATTGAATACACAGGCGGCATTGCACAGGGATTCCAGTAATCTGGCCAGCTCCGTCAATCTGGCGCTTCCGTGTTCGGAGTTTCAGGGTGGGCAGCTCTTCATTGAGGACTCTCAAGGAGGCACGTCGCTTACCTCGAGGGGCCGGTGGGTCACCTGGTTTCCACAAATGAGGCGACGGCATTCTCGCCGAAGAAGCTTCACGCAACGCTGCCTTGGGAGGGAACTAGGCTTTTGCTTTTGTCTTTTCACATTGGACAATTTGCGAACCTTAAGCCCCTGGATGTACAGCTCTTGACGAATCATGGATTTCGTATTACTGGCAGTTCTAAGTGACTGCACGTGAGTGCCCGGGCGAGGTTTTTGTACGATGGCGGTGCAAAGACCGAGTTCGGGTGGCATACCTCCTGCACTGGCAAGCGCATTGTCTTTTTCGCGGGTGGCCATGTTGATGCTTTGACTGGTTGCCGAGGTGCTCAGCTATATGGTCGGCCTGGGCCTGATCGAAGCTTGGCTTTGCATCGTTGCCTGCTCTCTGGAAGTGGTTTCTCCGAGGAAGCAGTGGCTAGTCGGTGACTGATGGCTCAATGGACAGTGCTTCTCCAAATTGAATCTGCATAGTTTCTTATCGATGCTAAGGTGTATACAACAGTGTACAGTGCCAAGCATCCACTCGGGCGGTCGAACATCGATAGCCTGAATCTGCTCATTGCATTTCTTCATTCATTTTCTTTATGAGAGGTTTTCATGTTTCGTCGGAGTGAGACTGCTGTAGCCTCGGCTCGGGTCGTTTAGCATGCTGGGTCTTCTGACCGGTGCTGCGCTCCGACGCTTTTAACACGGGTTGTCACAGACAATGCTGCTGCAGCCGAGCTAAGCTCGCCGATACGCTGGGCGGACCCCTGGACGTTCGCCGCGAATGGAAGGAAGGAAGTAGTAGTAGTAGTAGTAGTAGTAGCAGTGGTAGTGGTAGTGGTAGTGGTGGTAGTAGTAGTAGTAGTAGTCGTAGTAGTAGTAGTAGTAGTAGTAGTAGTAGTACTGTACTAGTAGTAGTAGTAGTAGTAGCAGCAGTAGCAGTAGCCGTAGCAGTAGCAGTTGAGTAGCAGTCGCAGTCGCAGTAGCACTAGCAGCAGTAGTAGTAATAGCGGGAGCAGGCTGAGGATGAGGAGGGGGAGGAGGACCAAGAGTAGGGGCAGGAGTAGGAGTAGCAGTGAGTAGGAGTCGTCGTAGTTGTCGGAGTAGTCGCAGTGGTTTCAGTCTTTGCAATACCAACAGAGAATCGGTCGGTTGCTGACCCAGCAGCACTGGCAGTTGCAGCGGCAGGGGCGATGGCCGTGGTAGTGGTAGTGCGAGGCGGAGGTAGAGACGAAGCAGAAGCAAAGGCCGTAGTAGCCGCGGTTGTAGAAGTGTTGGTGGCAACGGTCACGGTGGTCGTGGAATCTTCACGGTAGTGTTATGAATAGTGGTAGGCGGAGGTAGGAGGAAGAGTAGGAGCAGCAGCAGCAGCAGCAGCAACAACAACAACAACAACAGCAGCAGCAGCAGCTCCAGCAGCAGTTCTTTGCAAGTTTTGGTGTTGCTGACTTGTTTCTTGAAGATGCTTTGAAAAGAACCGGGTTGCAGGTCATCGATTGGCGGTGGTGATAGAGCTCAAGGATTAGAAATGGCGAGGATAGTAGTGATAGCAAGTTAGCGACGATAAACATTGTCATCGGAAGTCGGTGACAAGTTGAAGTACTGGTATGGTTAAGATGTTCTCTAAGCTAGCGATAAGAAACCAAGAAGACTGATGGTACTCCAACTCTACAGTCTAGAGCAGCCCCACAGCCAACCAGTGTTCGTGGTACTTCTCCATTCTCCTGCGGCTCGACTCTTTCGGAAAACCGCTGTGTCTACACATGTCTTTTCTGTCATGACTTGTGCAACTTGTGAGTCCCCAACTCCGTGTACACTTTCATGCTTGCTTTCGCGAGGCATTATATGATGGAGCCGTTGCAAAACCTGCTGATGTCCAGCCCCTCCCGTTTGTTGGGGCGCGACATACTGGTGCATTTGCAAAACTGCTGCTGCCAGAAATCCATGTTTTCAACATGAGCTGCGGTGGACGACCCATCCCTCACCAAAAGGACCACGCTTGCTGCAGATCCTGAGTCGCGCGCATGAAGGCCACATTGCCAGAAGTGCCCCTGGCAACTTGCTTATTGCCTTAAGTTTTGGAAGCCCCTAAGTCTCTAAGTTGTTCTACACGCTAGCCTGCAAGGGACAAAACGACAAGGCCTCCAAACGACGAGAGAGAGGTTCCATCAAATGCTGGTCGAGCTCCTCCACGATGATCCGGATGTTTTCGCGCAACCTGCGGCTAAAGGAGCTTCTGACGGAAAACTGACCCGGCCAGGAAACGCTGAGCTGCAGGCTGGGGGTCCACCTCTGGTGATGACAAGAGCTGCTTCTCAATCTGACCTTTTGCGCTGCTCCGGGACGCTGAGAGGAGCCATGACTCGAGAGACTCTCGGATCTCCTTGAGTTCCAGACTGTTTGTGGAGGAAATCCGATTGATGGAGGTCTGCACCTGGAGTGCAATTTTGAGAACTTGTCTCCGGCACACATCTCACCTCCAAACCCGAAGTTTGGAAATTTCCGAGGTCCGCCTTTTTTTTAATGTCAGGCATTGTCAGGCTTCCAGAGACCCTGCCCCCGGCCCTGCTCCCGCCTCTGCAGGGTGTACCATGTGCCTTGCGACCATCGGCTGCAGCTGCTTGGCACGCTCCGTCCGGTCCCCCGCGTCCGGGCTCAGAACCGCCTCAAGGGCTCCGGTCGCAAGAATCTTTCGGCTTCTCACATCAAGACCTAAAGTTAGAGGGCTTTGGGCAGTGGGGGTGCACACCTCAGGTGTTCGGCTGCAGATTCTCAAAAGCTTCATGTATTGAGGGTCTCCAGTCTGAACGCGCAACTCAAACTTGGCACCAGGAGACAGATGAAAACAGAGGCTTCCGTAAACGCTGATGATGCGTGAAGCCGTAAGTCTCAAATTCGAAGAACTGTCCAGATCCACTTAGTAGGGGTTTGTATGTCAAGAAGACCTGCTCAAAGCGAACCTCAAGCTCAGGCCGCTAAGGCGCCCCTGCATAGATGTAGTTGGAGCGGAACTGCAGGGTGACCTCACCATCCCGGCACATGCAGTCCTCTTCAACACCATTTGCCCGAGCGAAGGACTACCAGAGTCAAAGCCGGTAAGTGCGAGAGCACAATCTCTTCGATCGAGGGCAGCTGGTCCTCGGAGCCAACTGCAACTCACCCTCTGGGATATTCGCTTTCAATGCTGCGCAAACATTGTGTAGCTGCAGCAGTGGCTCCAACTGCAGTCTCTGGAAGAAGGGCGACTCTGCTTCCAGCCGCTGTCGAATAGCCTCGCTGTGACTTGCCGCAGCGCATCCCATATCCGATCCAAGCGCTTGGCCACGGACCTTGTAGGTTCCCAGCTCCTCCGGGAATGGCCATCGGCTTTCCAGGTTTCTCAGCCTCTCTGCAGAGCTCAACAAAGGGCTAGGGCCGAGCTAAGATGGCTGAGGCCACAGCAAGTAGAGCTGCACACGCTCGTCGTGATCCTCTGGGAGCTTCTCCTCTTCAGCACCAGCTGTTACGTAGGCCTTTCGGAACCTTGCGCATGGACAAGGTGGAAAGAGCCTTGAAGACCATCTCCTCTCGCATGCACACCTTTGTGATCGAAAAATGACAATGCACCGAGCTGCTTGATCTGCACAGCGTGTGCTGAACCGTGCTTTCGCTCTTCAGGGAGGGGCCATGAAAATAGGGCCTGAGATCCCGGCTTCCGTACTCTGCAGCCAGCATAGAAACCTCGGGCTTCGTGAGCGTACACTCCCGCGTGGTTTCCCTACAAGGGAGGAGTAAGCTGGCAGCTCAAAGGATGCCATTGGAACAGAAAGGCCGTAGGCCTGGCAAGCCAGAACCTGTCTGCACCAGACGGAACGAGCTGAAGGTTTCCACGGCCGTTTCATGCTTCGGAAGCACATGCGGCAGGTGACAGAAAGGAACACTGACCTCTCTGCGGCTTAGAAGCCTCAAAGGCTCGTTTCGCTGCAACCATACACCGAGTGCGTAGGGCTTGCTTGGCAGCCTCGCGAACAGACTTTCCCTTGATCGAGCTCTTGTGGCCGTTTTGCACCGAGCCTCGCAAAGTGTGTGCCGAGCAAAGGAGCGGAAATCCAGCCAAGAAGCATCCTGCCAGGCTGCTTTTCTTTGGCCTCTGACAATAAGTTATTCGCAAGCTCCCCACGCATTGGGGCACTGAGATCAGGCATCCCCATGGCGTCCGCAAATGGCTCCTCTTCTTCGCTCGTCTCCTGGCTCTCCTGGCAAAGCCAGGGTATTCAGCGGGTGCCATGCGTCCCATTGCATCACTGCAAGCACGTAGGGGTCAAGATGCGCCAGAGAGGCTTCCAGCTCATCTTCCTGGGGCACTTGGTAGACCTCAAAAGAGCGCTCCAGCGCGCAGAGAGAGTGGAACGCTGCGCGCGGAACCGCTCGACTGCTCTCTTCCTCGGCGGCCTTGGCCCCGGGCCTGGCTCGGATCCAGGCCGTTCAACTTGTTGCTGTACCGCTCCGCAACTCGCAAGCCTCGAAAAATTTCGAGGGAGAGAGGGAGGGCGGGGGTGGGGCAGAAACTGCCCTGGCCGGCATCTAGGGACCCGGCCCTGAACCTCCGTCGGATCAGGCATCTGCGAACCATCCCATATCCTGTTTGCAGCCGCAACCTGTGCACTGCGGAGCTGCGAGTGCAAAACAAAAACTTCAGATCCTTGCTTACCACTCTAAGCGTCGGTCTGGTGCATCTTCATCCAAGTTCTTGCCGGCACTTCGCACCAAGGTCGCCTGGTAAGTGTCGGCAGACATGAAGCAAACTTGAAATCGGCAATTGCACGCGAACATAATCACCGTTTTCGAAATCTGCCTACAGGGTTCATCCTCACGGTTATCGTCAACACCATCAGCTGCATCATCAACATAATCATCTTTCTTCACAACCTTCATCCTGTAACAAGTCTGGCGACCTCACGAAATTGAAATCATTGCTGTTCTCAGTACTTCTGTAGATCCAGTGCTTATGCTTGATGAGCTTGGCCTTGTTCAGCTATGTTTGTCTGACTGACACTCCTGCTGCCGCCAACCTGTTGCTGAAAGCACTCTTGCTTGGACTACCGCTCACCCTGACTATTGACAAGCGCTGATGCATGCATGCATGCATGCATGCATGCATGCATGCATTCCTGGAAGTGCATGCATACATATTATGGGGTTCCTGGAAGAAGTCCTGATCCCTCCCACATCACGTTTTGCGGTCCACAAAAGGAGACTTAGCCCAGAAAAGGGTCAGAAGCGACCGAGACCACGCATGAACAACTTGTGTGCCACATCTTCCGGTTCTGTAGTGGCAGATGGACACTAGCACGGGTCATCGTGCGAAAAGCGCCATCGCCTACTCCAGAGACCAGATGTGAAGACATCCAGACAACTCAATCGTAAGTGCTTCCTGAGAGTGACTTCATCACCATCATTATCACTACCCGTCACTACCAGCATCATCAGGATCTTGCCAACATGGAACATCACCACAATCCATTCATCCATCCGTTCATCCATACATCCACCCCCACGGCAGAGTCTCCATCCTAGTCATCCTCACCACCGCCAGCTACCCCAGCACCTTTGGCAGCATCAGCAGCAGTGGCATCTATTGTCTTCAGCATCAGCAGCCGCAGCAGCCACAGCAGCAGCAGAATCGTCGTCAGAAGCCGTGTCGTCGGCATCATTCATCATCAGCAACACTGACGTGAGCAATTATCATAGGCAGCATCGGCTGATCCCAGCTACAGCAGCAGAAGCAGCAGCAGACATAACAACCAAGTAAGCAACGAGCTGCCAAAGCGGGTCAATCTGCCAGTAAGTTTCATCATGTGAGACTTTGAGAGGAGGATGTAAAGAAAACGGAAAGAGAAGCAACCTGAATGCCACAGCAGCGAGAGGAGGCCGAACGTGACAAATGCAGATCCCCTACCTGGCGAGTGGAGAGCTCCATCTGCAGGCGGCCCAGCTCTGCTTGGGCCTTTCGCAACTGTGAAAACGATATTCGAGCTTGGACTCTTGCTCTTCGCAGCAGCTTACAGCCGTTAGAACCCCTTCCAGGATCCCCGCACAAGTAATCAAGAGTTGTGTTCATGTTTTGGGGTTGCAATGACGGCTTTTGACAAATCCCTTTGTACACACCAGAGATAGCTGTTGAAAACACGCGTAAGTCAGGAAAACAAAACAACAGTACTACTGTAGCGGAAACCTGAATTACAGGAGGATTGTCGTCTTGTGCTGATGCTGCAGTTGCTCGTCCTGTTGCTGCTGTCGTTGTGCTGCGGTATTCACCTGCAGCTGCGGTTTCTGATGTTGACTGTATGCCTGCCGTCGATCTGGTTCCCTGGTCAGGGCTCTTCCCGGTGCGATATATGTCCATGTCTGTCTTTCAGGCTCTGCTTCACCAAGCGTACATGCTGCTTGAATTACGGCGAAGTGCTGGATGCGGCAGTGACGGAGGTTAGTTGTTGCCGGGTGGTGGCAGGTCGTCGGCCGTAGTAGCAGCAGTCGTCGTCATCGCCGTCGTCGTCGTGATCGTCGCGATTTTGGTGGTCGTGGTGGTAACTGTCGTGATCGGGATCGTGGTCGTTGTCGTGGTCGCGGTCCTGGCGGTCGTGGCGGTAGTGGTGGTGGTAGTGGTTGGTGGTGTTGGTGGTGTTGGTGGTGTTGGTGGTGTTGGTGGTGTTGGTGGTGGTGGTGGTGTTGGTGGTGGTGGTGGTGGTGGTGGTGCTGGTGTTGGTGGTGGTGGTGGTGCTG